CTGGGATTACAGGCATGCGCCACCATGCCTAGTCTATTGCCTGCTCAGTGTGCCCAGGGGTGGGTCTGGTACATCATGTCATGCTGAGGATCGAACCCTGGTCCTGCACTTGCCTAAGCAAGCACTTAGTCTACTGAGCTATCTCGCTGGCCCTGGATAATATTTTTAAAGACATGTTATAATTTAAATATCCTTCCAAATGGGGGTTTCCTAATTGTGATTCCCCTTCATGTAATTAAAGTTTTAATTTTGGCCTTTGAACTTAATGTTTAAGAGCAGTCTCTGCATTCCTAGAAAGTTAGTTTTCCCTGTATTTATGCAAATTAAGATTTTTCCAGGCAGTTCCTGAGCACCTCCCTATAATCTGAGCTATTTGGAGAGCTGAGGCAGGAGAACGGTATGTTTCAGGTTAGCTTGAGACCTTGTCTCAAGAAAAAAAAAAAAAATCATGAAAATAAATACATTCAACCTTTACTCTTTAAAACTAGGTAGTATATCTAACTTATCACAATGATTAATTTCGTATTCTTCCTCTAAATACGTAATGAATGCCAGTGCTGTGTGTTATTACACTAGATGTTAGGAGTGTCTCTGTTCACTTAGTAAAATTACTAAATAGTGAACATCTAATTATCAGTGTATTTTAGTTTTTGCTAATGTTTAACATCCTGGTATGATTCAAACTTTGTAAAATTTATTTATTCATTTATTTTTGTGGAACAGGGGATTGAACTCAGACTCTTGAGCTTGCCAGCGAAGCACTTATTCCACTGAGCCACCTACCCAGCCTCAAAATTATTTTTTTATAACTTAAAATATTAACATCTAGCTAGGTGTGGTAGCACATGCCTGTAATCTCAGCACTTGGGAGGCTGGGGAAAGAGAATTGCAGTGAGTTCAAGGCTAACCTGGGTACACAGCAAGTTCTTTTTTTGGGGGGGTGGAACTGGGGATTGAACTCAGACCTTTATGCTTGCCAGGGAAGCACTTATTCCACTGAGCCATCTCCCCAGCCCAAAAAAGGCAGAAGGCTTTTATTTATTTATTTTTTGCCACTCAGGATGCCTTCAGGGCAGGTCTGGTTTGGCTTGAGGATGAGGGGATTGAACCACAGCATCCTGAGCCTGACTGCTTTGTTTCAGCAGGCACTTAAACACCTGAGCTAATGGGCGGGCCCCCTAAATAATGGCCTTTTTTTTTTCTCCCCCCCCCCCCCCCCATTGGGGATTGAACTCAGGACACTGCGCTTGCCAGGCAAGAGCTTATTCTACTGAGCTATCTCCCCGGTCTACACAGCAAGTTTAAGGCCAGCCTGAACTGCGTAGTGAGACCCTAACCCAAATATTAATATCTATAGAAAAGTCAAACATTGCACTGTTAGTGATTCCATATATTAAAGTTTAATTTAACAGTATTAAAGGAGAAACTTAACAAAGCTAGCATTTTCTGGTAAGGTCATTGATACAGGCGCTGGGAACTTGAAGCGCACTGCCACAGCCTGGCGTACCCTCACGGTCTGTCTTCTGAGGACCTGTGCCCACTTCTGATATTGCTGCATCTCGGCCTGCTTATTGAAAGACTTAAAGTTTTAGTTTTTGCTCTGGTGGTCTTCTTAAAATACTGATTGTGTGTTTTTGTTTATTTTAAATTGTGGCTAAAGCATCTTTTTTATTTTTTAGATCTTCAATTTTGCAAGCAGAGAGTAAAAAAGACCATGAAGAGGTAACTTTTTAATTAATTTCTTCAGCCACATTTACAAGTCCTTTTCTGGGCCAGGGATTTAGCTCAGTAGCACAGCGCCTTGGCACGCACAGGTGCAAGGTCCTGAGTTGGATTCCCAGGGCTAAAAAATTTTTTTTTCTGAGGGTGAGACATTAATGTGATCATTATAAGAAATTTTGGGTAATTCTAGTGAGTTAAAAATGTCTTTTAGTCTTCCTGTTTTTAGTCAACATTTTTAAGTTTCTCACAGAATTTTGTAGTTAGAGGGATCTTAAAGATAAAGTTTCTGCTTTTTTTTTTTCTGTTCTTTTAAAGGCAAAAATTTAGCAGTGACTGTTGCATTCTGTCAGGCTAGTGGTATCAAGAGGTAACAGCTTAATTTATTCTTTGCTCTTGCCAATCCTTTGAGACACTTTGTTGAAGCAAGAACGTAGTGGCAGCAGATGTGGCCTGGCAGTAAGCCACTAAAACATAAACCTTAGGGAAATCAATGACAGAAAAACAAAACCTGGGGAGTCTCTGTTCTTCCTCACAACTCTTTCCATTCTTACTCTTCGTGTATCAAACACAGAAGGTAGGGTACTCCAAGGACTTACATTTCACAAACCTTATTTTGACAATATCCTTCCATGAAAGTATACCGTAGCTTGATTTTTAGCCTTTTTATTGAGTATTATAATTATGCTAGTATAGAAAGGTTGGGGTGGGGGGAAGAAGAGTTAGAAATACGTGGAAATCCTCCTTGCTTACTCTCGTGGAAGAGATGTCCTGTGAAGACTTCCTTCAGGTTTCCGAGGCACACAGACAAGCATCTCTGCTTTTCGTGTGGTTTACCAAACAAAATGTTAGGTTAGCCGTGAGGCTGTCCGGCCTGCACTCCTTGAGCATGAAGCAGAAGATAAGGAAGAGAAGGTGTTTCCTGTGTTGAAAGAAGAGAAGTATGTAAAATATATTCACCAAAAAGCTACTTAGATATTTATCTCCTCTTTGCATGAGTTATCAGTTGTGGTATCTGAGTTCAGGCTGTCTTGTCTAGTGGGAATTAAGGAAGGAAATAATATAGAAAAGGTAAATACAGACTATTAATTTCAGCATGGTTGCTATATTTTTATTATATGGAATAAAATTGGGATTTTTTTTAAATATAGTCTGCTGAATGTATTCTTATACACATACATTTATAGCAAGATTTTTTTCTTGGTTTTGTTTTGTATTTGGTGCTGGGGATTAAAGTCAGAACCTTGTGCACGCTAAACACGTGCTCTTCTGCAGAGCTGTGCTTCCAGGCCCAAATGTTTTCCTATAAAGATTTTCTGTTTCTTCTAATGAAACTTCTGTTTCAGTTGGTTGCTGGACATTTCTCCTTTAAAAGAGAAACTTGTTTCCAGTGCTGGGATCTCATTCAGGCTTCACACGTACTAGTCAAGTGTGCTACTACTGAGCTACATCCTCAGTGAGACTTTGTTGAAAAATATTTTAATTACATATTCCTGTTTTTTCTCTTACAGTGGATTTGTACAATTAACAACATATCTAAACAAATATACTTAAGTGAAAATCCAGAGGTAAAATTTTTATTTTGCATTACCCAGATTTAGTAAAACTGGATAATTTTGTGGCTACATGGCTTTTAGTAGTAATTCTCAACTTTTGTGCTCTTTTGATTTAGTAGTTAGCTTTTAATTTGTCATGTATGTTCTGAGTGATCTTCCTAGAATAGTGTGTTATTTGAAAAAACAATAAAAGCATTTAGCCAACTAGTATTTACTGGGTGGTGGCTGTTTGGCTCTGAATTGCATACCATGGAGTAAGGAGATGGAGAAAAATAAACCATGGCCTCTGCCTCCAGGAACCTATCCTTACGGTGATGGGAACTAAAACTTTAGTTGGTCATTGTGGCACATAGGAGTCCAACACTGGGGGACTGAGGCAAGAAGATTACAAGTTCAGGTCAAGCCTGTGCAGCTTAGTGACTTAAGAGATGAACCTTTCTCAGAGGTAACCCCCCCCCCCCCAACCGGGGATTGAACTGAGGCCCTTGCACTTGCCAGGGAAGCCCTTATTGCACTGAGCCGTTTCCCCAGCCCCCTTTCTCAAGAGTTTTTTTTTTTTTTTTTTTTTAAAGGGTGGATTATAGCTCAGTGTGAAGAACCTGGGTTTGGTAAAATAGGATGTGCTCAGAACCATGTGCCGTTGACAGGATTATGGTTTTTGCTCCATTTGGAGATTTATTTTGACACTAGTTTTAAAATTAGAGGTTGTCAATGAAGAACAATAGGGAACATACAAATAACTTGGGAATCTTGTTAAAGTACATTATTAAAATCCGTATTATACTGGAGTGTGAACACCTAGCACTGCGTATTTGCCTGTGGTTAGCAAGGACGTCGAGCTGCTGAAGCCTGCCGTGTGGATGTGGCCCTTGGGGAAGTCCAGGCGTGCCAGGCGGAACTGAGAGCTGCTGGCTGTTATGGAAGCAGTCAGTTGGGTCCATACCGCGGAGTATGTAGCTGGGCAAAACCACAGCCCCAGGACCAGAGCTGTGTCGGCTTCTGTTCTCATTAGGCCTGACCTCAATGTACCCAGGGCCTTCCAGGATGGCTGGAGGGTGATGGTGTCAGGTGAAGGGTTTCAGCTGGGAAGCCTCGCTCTTGCACATCGTACTGCTCTTGTAATGGTGGGTTGGATGGGAGCGTCTGGACTGGTTGGTAACTGATGGATGCAAAGGACGAAGGAGAGGCATAAAGTAAAGTGATGTCTTCCAGTGGAGTTTGATTTTACCAACATGACTGTGAAGTGCCAGCCAGGACACATACATACCCAGGAAGCAGCTTGAGTTAAGATAAAAACTCTCATTATCTCTAAAGTATTATTTTATTTTTGTATGTACTGGGGCTTGAACACAGGGCCTTTGTGCTGAGCTATGTCCCCAGCCCTTTATTTTTATACAGGGTCTAAGTGGCTTAGGCCAGGCTTGAATTTGCAGTCCTCCCGCTTCAGCCTCACAGAGTGCATGTGCCACCATATTCATATTATCCCCTTCAAAATATTAGTAATTTTTTTTTTTTGCAGAACCAGGGATTGAACTCGCGCCCTTGCACTTGCCAGGCAAGCGCTTATTCTACTGAGCCATCTCCCTGACCCCTGTAATTTTTTATTTTTCTAATAAACTTAAGCTTAATATTAGAAAATCAGTGCTAACGGTAAATACACATTTCGCTTTTAGGGACTCACTTTCCTCCCTGCGAACCTATTTTTCCTTTTGTAAGATCACCTTGAGAGCAACAAAAACTAAAATTAAAATACAGTGTTTTTATTGTTTAAGGAATACCTAGGGAACACAATGCTTACATTTGAGTAATTCCCACTTGTAGTTCTTTCCTACCAGTTATCAAAACTCTAATTGTTAGTATTTTCAGGTTATCCTGATTTATTATAGCTATGTTAATATCAGTGAAAATCTTAATCAGTTGGTGGGATTATATTGATATTTTTGTTAACTATAAGATAGAGATGTAAAACTCTTGCAATTTTTTTTGTAATTTAAAGACCATTTTTTAAAATTGTAAAAAAATTAAAAAATTTATCATCTTAACAATTAAGGTTTATTAAATAGTGTTAACTATCAATTGAAGTAGATCTTTAATTAAAATACTATTTTTATTTAGTTGTTATTGTACATTAAATAGTAATTCTAAGATTCTTTCTTTTTTTTTTTTTTT